AGCAATGCACTTGGATACAAGTAATAACTAATCAGTCAGATTTAGGCTGAGGTGATTGGATAACTGAGAATTGTTCCTTAATATGCTTTCAAAAACAGACCATTCCAAATGAAACGGATGCTCTTACCATATGTTTCACTCAAATTTTAGAATAGTTATTTTTTTACACATCTGCTGTTACATTTTGCATGTCTCCAGTCATATAATTAATATATATATAATTAATATATATATATATATATATATATATATATATATATATAGTTTGCGTATTGTGACTGTAAGTTTGATTGTAGAAGGATTACTTTTATACTATTCCAGGTATTCCTTAAAGAGGTAGGGTTTCAAGTGTCTCCGGAAGGTGGTCAGTGACTCCGCTGTCCTGGTGTCATGGAGGACAAATTTATATCAATTTTGTGAAAATGTTGTGGAAAATGTGTTCACAAAAAACAAGGGTAGAGATGGTACAAGGGTAGAATTGTTCTGCAGGCATATGTACACCTACAGTACACTTGTAGTTGCGTGTCAATGTGAAAATAAATAAAGGCTTCACATGTTTTGTCACGCATATAGTATGTGGCCCTTCACTTGGTTTCAAAAACTCAGTGTGGCCCTTGAGCCGAAAGGTTTGCCCACCCCTGCTCTATGGGCTGCAGCTCTACAGACAGCTGCACTAGTCTTGAATTAAGCTCATGAGGCATTTATTAGTTATATTCTTCAATAATCAATGGGTATATAGAATACATTTTTAAGTCCAAAAATGTATGTAGCAACCGCAATTTGCCTTGGGCAGGTGCAGCAGGACCTCATATGACTCCTTAGTATGACCAACAAACACCATGACCACATTCACCAAGGTTTCTCTTTTCTATATGTGGTTGTTCGTGCGTGTGTGTGTGTGTGTGTGTGTGCGACAATGAGGGTACACGTGTTCTTATCTCTTCTCCTCTCTGGTTAGGCACGATTGAGCCCCTCTCCATATCTCCCCCATACACACACGCATACACACACAAGCTCTCTCCCACACACTCACACAAACTCTCTGTCTCTAACACACACACACCTTCTTTCTGCTGAGCTGTGTGGTTTTATACTTTCTGAGGAGTTCACACTGCAGCAGACCACAGCAGGTGATTATTAAGCCCCTTTTGCCTCCAATGCTTCTCTCCCTGTGTGTGTGTGTTCGCTCCTGCACCAGCGTGTTTGTACACACCACACAGTAGCGGTTTTAATTCCAAACACAATGATCTGCATCCCATGCATCTCAACGCCATCTATCACAATAAACCTGCAGTTTATTACACTACTCACTCTGCCCCTACTCAGATGGTAATGGGCCGTCGCAACCTTCGCTCTCTCTCTCCCGCTACTCTCTCCTCTTCCATCCTATCATCTCTTCCCCTCTGCTCAATCCTTCTCCCTCCAATGTCCTGATTCTGCCTCCTCAACCCTCCTCTCCTCCCTTTCTGCATCCTTTGAATCTCTATGTCCCCTATCTTCCCGGCCGGCCTGGTCCTCCCCTCCTGCTCCGTGGCTTGACGACTCATTGCGAGCTCACAGAACAGGGCTCCGGGCAGCCGAGCGGAAATTGAGGAAAACTAGACTCCCTGCGGACCTGGCATCTTTTCACTCCCTCCTCTCTACATTTTCTTCATCTGTTTCTGCTACTAAAGTCAATTTCTACCACTCTAAATTCCAAGCATCTGCCTCTAACCCTAGGAAGCTCTTTGCCACCTTCTCCTCCCTGCTGAATCCTCTTTGCCACCTTCTCAAAAAACCAACACTCGATCCCTCTGATGTCAACAACTACAGACCAGTATCCCTTCTTTCTTTTCTCTCCAAAACTCTTCAGCGTGCCGTCTTTAGCCAACTCTCTTGCTATCTCTCTCAGAATGACCTTCTTGATCCAAACCTGTCAGGTTTCAAGACTGGTCATTCAACTGAGACTGCTCTTCTCTGTGTCACGGAGGCTCTCCGCACTGCTAAAGCTAACTCGCTGTCCTCTGCTCTTGTCCTTCTAGACCCGTCTGCTGCCTTTGATACTGTGAACCATCAGATCCTCCTCTCCACCCTCTCCGAGTTGGGCATCTCCGGCGCGGCTCACTCTTGGATTGCGTCCTACCTGACCGGTCGCTCCTACCAAGTGGTGTGGCGAGAATCTGTCTCCGCACCACGTGCTCTCACCACTGGTGTCCCCCAGGGCTCAGTTCTAGGACCTCTCCTATTCTCGCTATACACCAAGTCACTTGGCTCTGTCATATCCTCACATGGTCTCTCCTATCATTGTTACGCAGACGACACACAACTAATCTTCTCCTTTCCCCCTTCTGATAACCAGGTGGCGAATCGCATCTCTGCATGTCTGGCAGACATATCAATGTGGATGACGAATCACCACCTCAAGCTGAACCTCGGCAAGACGGAGCTGCTCTTCCTCCCGGGGAAGGACTGCCCGTTCCATGATCTCGCCATCACGGTTGACAACTCCGTTGTGTCCTCCTCCCAGATTGCGAAGAGCCTTGGCGTGACCCTGGACAACACACTGTCATTCTCCGGCTAACATCAATGAGGTAACCCGATCCTGTAGGTTCATGCTCTACAACATTTGGAGAGTACGATCCTGCCTTACACAGGAAGCTTTACAGGTCCTAATCCAGGCACTTGTCATCTCCGTCTGGATTACTGCAACTCGCTGTTGGCTGGGCTCCCTGCCTGTGCCATTAAACCCCTACAACTCATCCAGAATGCCGCAGCCCGTCTGGTGTTCAACCTTCCCAAGTTCTCTCACGTCACCCCGCTCCTCCGCACACTCCACTGGCTTCCAGTTGAAGCTTGCATCTGCTACAAGACCATGGTGCTTGCCTACGGAGCTGTGAGGGGAACGGCACCTCTGTACCTTCAGGCTCTGATCAGTCCCTACACCCAAACGAGGGCATTACGTTCATCCACCTCTGGCCTGCTGGCCCCCCTACCTCTGCGGAAGCACAGTTCCCGCTCAGCCCAGTCAAAACTGTTCGCTGCTCTGGCACCCCAATGGTGGAACAAGCTCCCTCACGACGCCAGGACAGCGGAGTCACTCACCACCTTCCGGAGACTCTTGAAACCCCACCTCTTTAAGGAATACCTGGGATAGGATAAAGTAATCCTTCTACCCCCCCTTACCCCACCCCAAAGAAATAAAAAAATATATTGTAAAGTGGTTATCCCGCTGGCTATAAGGTGAATGCACCAATTTGTAAGTCGCTCTGGATATGAGCGTCTGCTAAATGACGTAAATGTAATGTAAATGTTATAATACCTGTCAAAAGCACAGACATAAATAATATATAGAATTTCTATGGTGAGTAGTATCCCACTGGGCACACACTGTTTGAGTCAACGTTGTTCCCACGTAATTTCAATGAATTTACATTGAACCAACGTGGAATAGACGTTGAATTGACATCTGTGCCCAGTGGGATGTATTTGTCTATTGAGAGTAACGGGCTGTCAGCGGTGAGATGACGGCCACCTAGTGGTGAAATCAAGGTTGCACATGACAGTATAATACTCAAAACATAAGACCTACCATTATAAGTGATGTGTCCAATAAACATTTATTCTCTTCATACAGTCTGAATCATTAGGAAATCAAATGACATCATTAACACAGAATGATATAAAAATACATTTCTGGCAGCATGGCCCCAACCATACATCATAATCTGTTAAAGACAAGTATGCAGCAGTCGTGTGCAACACATAATGTGTGTATTTTTCTCCATTTCATTTGAGATGCCTTTAGAGAAGCAGGTCAGAATGTAAAAGTTAACTTCAGTTAGACCTGTAGACAGAGACTGAGGAGATGAAAGGAGATTGATACCCACACAGTCACACATAAAGTACTCAGCATTTGCATACCTCAGGTTATTTAATCATCTCTACAAAATATATCTGTCATAAACTTCTATCCATCTGAATGACATGACTTCATAGATTGAGTCGATTCTACAGTAGAAGAACATCTCAGACAATCAATTTCATGATTTGATTTTGATCCAAAACATTTTTTGTAAATATAACAACGAGGAACAAAAATATCAAAGTCTTTGGAATGGACCTTCTTTTTTAAATATTTGGCTCGATATCTAAAGATCAAGTAAAATGGCCTTGTGAAAACTACGTTGCTTCATCCTCATGTAGCACATTGATATCACCACCATGTTAGAGAGGTTTTCAGACAGATTGTTAGACAGGTTGTCAGACAGACAGGTTGTCACATCATTCAGGCCCACCTTTGTTTTTGACACTTGTCACATACAGAATAATCTTCGGAAACCCAGAACTAAAGTCTTGCGTAATTGTGTCAGATGTTCGAGTTCTGCGGGCAGATGTGTTAGAAACAATACTAGAACGAGGAGCGGAAGCAGCCCGGTAGCTCCACTCCAGTTGCAAGTTACGGGAAGTCTATGGTCCAAATGTCCCCTCCTCTTCCGAAATTGAAAAGATGCAAACACCTGCGAAATCATGATTTGTCCAAAATAATCAGTGATGAAAAATCTGTGCACCTCAACAAAGTTCCTCGTTAGTCGTTGCATCCCACAGTCTGCTGACAGAAGCTAGGATACCAGTTGTGCTAAGTGCGTCTGTCCACGAGAGATTAGACACAGAACAGTGGGGATTTTGAAGCACAGAGGTGATTTGACATGATCTCAATGAGCAGGATGTAGGCTAAAAGCATCTGTGTATAGAAGCACAATGTCAAACTGGGCTATACACACACACACATTTAGCCTAGTGCTTTACTGTAGCCTTCCATTTCAAATGACTTTAGGCAGTGAGCACTTACAAATGTTTGTGTCACGGGCAGGCAGCATTTGATGATGTCATTAATGTTGGCCACTATAATATCTCTGTGGGGAAGCATTATTTGATTGGCAGTCACAGTGGCACATCATCTTGTCCTCTCTCTGATTGGCAGTCACAGTGGCCTATCATCTTGTCTTCTCTCTGATTGGCAGTCACAGTGGCCTATCATCTGTTCCTCTCTCAGGAGGAAATTGGGAAGGGGCGGGGCTTACATGTCTGTCTGGAACAAGAACTTCCTCTACAAAGGCAACAGGAGCCAGACCTCGTCTGCCATTCACCTGAAATACACAGTCACTCAGTACGTTATCTACAGTACACCTGCCCTCACTTGAAACACACAGTTGTAGTCTCAGTTTGATACATGAGACACAGATCCACTCAAAGTATCAACACCTAAAACAGCTGCTGGTCTGATATAAAAAAGGTGCAAGCTACAAGCTGATGCACGGCTGGGTGTGGTTGATTGGCTCACCTCGGCGTCACAGAAGCCGTCGTTGCGGGGGTTGCCTAGCAGCGTGACAGTGTCTCCCTCTCTCAGGGTCAGCTCTCTGCTGGGGTGGAGGTTAGGGCTGTGTCCCTCAGAGGACTGCAGTTGTAGATGGCCACAAACTGAAGGGCACGCCATACATACAGTGCACACACACACAAACATGCAAATACCATACACAGAGAGAACACACAGGTCACAAGCAAGCAAGCACAAACACACATTAATACACAAGCCTAGAAGAGACGACTGGTAATGTAGAGAATCACAAATGCATCACAGTTCATTATTTCATCATGCAAATTTCAATGAAACACAGTAACTGAAAACCATTGCCGTTTGAGCTTCTGGACAGTGCGGCTGAAAATCTGCAGTAAAACATTGAAATGGCTGGGTCAGGTTAGGGTTGCTGTACAGAATTACTCCTCCTGGACGTTACAGACATTACAACTTGATTACATGTTGCTTGGTCTCACTCGTTCTAACCCATTCTCACCCTTTCTCTCCACTCATGTGAGAGATCACCAGACCACAGCCCAGGCCAATCGGGTTCTAGCCATGCACCCTCACCCTTGTGCATGCCCTGTGCATGCAGTGCTTCTAGCCTCTGATTGGCCAGCTAGCCCGACCCATGCTCTCACAAGGGTGGTAAAACTGAGTTTATATAACATTAAGTACACCTTCCTAATATTGAGTTGCACCCCTTTTTGCCCTCAGAACAGCCTCAATTCGTTGGGGCATGGACTCTACAAGGTTTCTAAAGCGTTCCACAGGGATACTGGCCCATTCAGATCGTGACACACTCAAACCGGTGCACCTGGCACCTACTATCATACCCAGTTCAATGGCACAAAAATATTTTGTCTTGCACATTCACCCTCCGAATGGCAGATTTGGAAGCGAGGAAGCGGTGGAGCACTATTCTCTCTGACAACACAGTAGCAGCTCCGCCAGCTAAAAGAATGGCATCCATTTCTAGCAGCATGGAGCCAACAATGACAACATGGGCAAGCCAACAACAAACGATAACATGGAGAAAAAAATTCATTTGTGCACAATAAATGGCAACATTCAGATCAACATTAATAAATAATTGGCGTGTGTTAGTCACTCTAGAAGCGTCGTAAGTAGCTGGCTTTTGCATACTTTAATGTAAGCTGCTAGCTAGCCTGTGGTTATGTTGCATAGCAACCAGTCTAGCAATGACACTTTTGTCAGGACTACTTATTCTGTCGGAATGTATTTAATATGAATCTATTAAGCCACGGGGGTTAGTGGTATATGGCCTATATACCACGGCTAAGGGCTGTATTCAGGCACTCCGCGATGCATAAGAAGAACACCATAGCTGTGGTAATAGGCCATATACCCACCCCTCGGGAATTCATGCTTAATTATAAGATAGCTATTGTTGATATTGTCACTGATTGGACTTGAAGGCCATTCTAGAGTGTGCTTATTTCCCTTACAAGGTTATTTGACACGGTGAATTCAATGGTATAAGCACTCTCTCTTATATCCTTAGTATTGAGCTGCTTTTGAAAGCACAAAGTCGACTCTGAAAACATTATTGGCTTGTTGAATTCGATTTCATAATGGCAAGCTAGGACTGATGGTTGGTTAGCTAAACTACAGTCTTTATATTGTTACCATGGCAATAACCGTCGCTCTATAGAAAACTTGCTAGCTACTCCTGTGGATGCTGAACACATTTCTACCGGCAAATGTGTTAAAATATAGTCATGGTATAAAAGGGATAATCAACTCGAGGCTCTATGAGTTCTCTGGAAAATAATGCAACTCTGTGGAAGGTCAGTTCCACTCCGCTAGCGTCGTGGAACACACCTCATTATTTTACATAGAACGCACAGCCCCTCGTTGATTATCCCTTAAGTAATAGCCTATTATTGACTATACCACCCTTTGCTCCTGCTGTTAATGCTATTGCTGTTGTTATTAATTTACTCATAGTATTTCATTTGGTGATACACTTCTCTGCTATTATGTTTATTACACATACAGTCCCAGTCAAAAGTTTGGACACACCTACTCATTCAAGGGTTTTTCTTTATTTTTTTACTAATTTCTACATTGTAGAATAATAGTGAAGACATGCAAAGCTGTCATCAAGGCAAAGGGTGGCTATTTGAAGAATCTCAAATATAAAATATATTTTGATTTGTTTAACACTTTTTTGGTTACTACATGATTCCATGTGTTATTTCATAGTTTTGATGTCTTCACTATTTATTATTCTACAACAGACAGATCCAGATTCAAGAATACACTGAGAGAGAGGAGAGATACACACTGTCATCCTCAACCATTCAACTCATGATACGTAGAAACTCTGCACAAAGTGATGTTAAGGAAGGAGAAAGAAAGAGGAGTAAAGGAGGAACATTTTGTCAAAGTACTGGTTAATTGTACCTTGAGGCATGCAGAGCTCATTACAGACTTGTGGAATTCCCCGTCTACATAGATCTGTGGAGAGAAGAGAGAGAGGGAGAGGGGGAGAGAGTAGAGAGAGAGAGAGAGAGAGAGGAGAGAGGAGAGAGAGAGAGAGAGAGATGAGAGGAGAGAGAGAGAGGAGGAGAGAAGAGAGAAGAGACCGGATCTCGAGAGAGGACTTAGACCTTCCCCATGAGCTCTAGCCGAGATTTCAGGCTAGCTTAGATACATCTCACTAGGAGGGAGAGAGGAGGAGAGAGAGAGAGCTCGATCACGCCTCACCTCTTCTAGAGAGACATTATCCCTCTATATAGTCCCTCTTATGAGCCCTAAGGAGAGAGAGAGAGAGAGAGAGAGAGAGAGAGCGCGAGATGAGCACGGCATATGGAGACATTGGAATGTATAGAATGGACAACACCAAAACCCATTTATTTACATTCTACTGTATCCCAGGTGAGAGGCAGCCTACCCTGTATCCATACACAAAGGCTCCCAGCCAATCATGAGGCTGCTCTGTCCCACCATCCTGATGACCTCAACAGAGCCCACCTCAGCTGGAGGTTCTAAAGGGGCAGAACAAAAGACAATCAGACACCCATGCGTTCCATCAAGTGTACAGTAAACAGTGTATGTTGTCTGGGCTACTCTACCCGGCTAAGCTCTGGGTTTGGTTGATTTAGCCTGTTCAGGTTGGCAGTTGAAGACGGGCTTCTTGACACAGTGGTCCTCATCAGGCAGTCGTGGCCTCTCACTGGGGGGCAGAGCAGAGGTGGAGGGGGCAGCTTTAGTGGGGGCTGTAGTTTTAGGGGTAATTGTTGGAGGGGCAGTTTTGGTTTGGGCAGTGTTCAACGAGGCAGTGGTACTTAGTGCTTTAACAGTCTGAGCCATAGCATAGCGGTAGGAGGTGTAGTATTAGAGGTAGCAGCAGTATTAGAACCAGTTTTAGAGAGGGGTTGTTTAGCACGGGTAAGGGCAGTAGTGGTAGTGATGGTGTGGACAGGAGGGTTAGTAGTTGGAGGTTCTCTGTTTAGGGTTTGCTTAGAAGAGGTAGCACCACCACTGGTAGTAGTAGTTGTAGTAGAAGGGGTAGCTGTATGGGGGTATGCTTGGGTCGGTTGGGGGCAGCAAGGTTTGGGTTGGGGTATCCTGGAGAGTTCCCCTGACCTGGAGGGGGACTGGAGTAAACCTGGGGTCTGGTCTTGGAAGGGAGAAGCTGGGGAGAGAAGGGGGAAAAGGGGGTGACATGGTAGTATCTTTAAGTAGACTACATTGGGACTTTGTGAAGAAAAAAATATAAATGTGTGTTTTTACACTGAATGGTACCACAAATGTAGTTTCCCTTGAGAGAAAAATCAAGTTATTCAATATTTCAATAACTCGTGTCCCAGGTAGGTAGCATAGAGGTTGTTCGAGCTGTACTATAGGCCTACCAGGTAGCTGTTGGTCTTCTGCAGCTGCTGGTGAAGGTTGATGATCTTCTCAGGACTGGTAAGCTTCCTACTCAGACTGGCACAGGGGGGAGTCACGATGAGTGGTCTCCCATTCTCCTTTAAGAAGCAGGCAGGAACCAGGGTGTATTCCCCTTTTACCTCTGCTTGGTATAGCCCACGTCTGTCTGGGACTCCAGTAACTTGGACTGATTCACCTGCAAAAAGGGGGAGCTGTAACAGAAATGTGTGGATACTATAAACCTGGTGTATAAGACATGCAACACTAAAGCAACAAGACATCAATTGTTATAATGTTGTTATATGCATCAAAACTAGGCTCTGTGACTGAACACATTATATTTTGAAATCGAAATTAAAGGATGATCCACTGACCGTTGGCAGTAAAGTGTGGGGCATGTTCGGAGAGGGGCAGTAGTCTGCCGTGGCCAGACACAAACCCTTAGTGATGGGCTGGGAAACCCCTTACACAGGTGTGTTATGTTATAAACCCCTTCAGCTGGTGTGAGGTATGTTTTCTGTATTACACTGTACTAAGATGTGTTAGCAGTTCTGTGCAGTGGTCAGGTGTGTTACCGTGACTCTTACATGTGCTGTGGAGGCTGCAGGAGAGGTATTGGAGCACTCTGTTAGTTCTGTGGGAGAAGGTGGGTGTTCTCCTGCAGAGCAGCGGTGGATGCGGGTGTGAAGGTGTAGTCGTGCAGTGCTGTGTCAGTGAGCAGGTCCTCAGCCTCCTGGGTCAGAGTGTAGTCCAGGCAGCCGTACCGACGCAGGGCTCACATCATCTGCACTAGTAGACTGTTCCTCTGCTGGCACTTCACCACCAGAAACGACAGCTTGGTCTACCATTGGACAGATCATCAGTCAATCAAAACCAAATCGTGACAGCGTGGCTTGTCATTGAACAGATCATCAGTCAATCAAAACCAAATCATGACAGCTTGGCCTGTCATTGGACACAACAGCTGTCAGTCAAAACAAGTCCAACAATAAATCCTCTATTAGCTCTAAACAACCATGTATCAAACCAGACACCCACAATTCTCCATTCCCCCTCACCTTTAGAGGAGCTATGTCCAGATCCATCTGGCTCTTCTTTCTCAGAAGAACATTGTACTGGAGAGAAGGAGACAGACAAACAGCCATTAGACTAAATACACTGACTGGAAATAACAAAGACATTAAATAAAAAAATATATTACCGACCACAAATACAGCTCTTTGGAGATTGTAAAAACTCTCTTCTAATAAAAATGTATTCCTCATGTCTTTGAACAAACGTCACTAACACTAAGCAGGGAGCTGTGGTCTTATCAGAGTAGGATGAAGTTGCTCCTTGACATTGGTCAGTTTTGTATTGGTAAGGCTTGGAATTCAGACAGGGTATTAAGCTGATCCTAGATCTGTGCAAAAGGATGACTTCTAACTAAATTGGTAACCTAAAGACACATTTTTAACTATCTTATCTGACAGAGGGTTGTTAACCTTAGATCTGATGTCATCATAGCGCACCCTCAGTGAGGTGAGTATGTCGTCCCACTCCTCTCTGCTGCCCTGGTCTCTCTTCAGGGAAATGTACTCTGAACTCAGCTCCTTTAGATCAACACTGTAATACACACACACACACACACTAGATCTCAGTGAATGAACAACCACAAATTCAGGTACACAGTACACATATAGAAACACTTAGTTAACACTCTCACAACACACACCTTGGCTTTAAGTTCAGCCTGAAGCAAGTTGAAGTTCTCTTCTATCTGGGTCCTGAGTAAGTTGGCATCAGTCTTCTCTCTCTCCAGACCCGCTAGTCTGCTCTTCACCTCTCCCACCTAACAAAAGACACAGCCTGTGGGTTATCATCACATTATATTATTACTGTGGTTAGTGAGAGAGGGATACTTTCTCTATTCGTACATCTGCTCTCAGTGTGTGGTTCTCCCTCTTCGTCTCCTCCACCTCCTTCGTTCCCTCTCTCATCCTCTTCACTTCACTTCGTTGGCTGCCTGTGCTGCCCTCCTCTCACCCTCCTCTCGCCTGACCTCAGACACACCCAGCTCATGGTACCACCTCTGAGCCTGCACACAGATTCTGTCCGGTCATGCCTCTGACCTCTGATCTTTCCTCTGATTGGCCAAGAGGACACAGGAAGTAAACAGAGCTCACCTCTGATTGGGCCTTCTCCAGTTCCTCTTGTGACCTTGTGTTCTGCCCCCAACGACTTGATCTCCTCCATCAGTTCACTCTGCTCCACCTCTGTCACATCTTCCAAGTGTTCCTGGATACAGGGATAAGTTACCATGCTACTACTGACAGAAACTCATCAGTGCCAACATACATAACCGCACAACTCACACAAGTAAAAAGATTCGCTCATACCTGTGCAGACTGCCCCAGACGGATGGTCTTGTATTTGGCGCAGCAACCCTTCTCTCTGTAGCCATGCCCTCTATGTGTGTTGCCATGCCAACGTGGTCTCAGAGTACTGCGGGTTGTGACTCTGCCCCTGTAACAGCAGCTGATTCCGTAAAGCAGCGACGTCCATCTGGTCTCTCTCCGCTGTGAGCTGCTCTCTCTGTTTGCTCAGAACATCCATTTAACTGAACCAACTGCTCTCGATCTTTTTTTAAACTGGTCGACCTGGTCTCTGTCTTCTGTTTGAAAGCAGAGAGATGACAGTTTGTCTCTTTCCTGCTCTAGATGGCTGAGTGTGTGTGTGTTAGCTGGTCTCTCTGTGCCTTTAAACCACACATTGATTGCATCAACTTGTCTCTCTCTTTTTCGAGATCGTGGAGTGACTTGTTTACTTGGTCTCTCATCTTTTTGACTGCAGAGAGACTGCGAGAGCTTGTCTCTCTCCTCCTGGAAACCAGACATTGACTGAACTAGCTTGTCTCTCTCCTCCTGGAAACCAGACATTGACTGAACTAGCTTGTCTCTCTCCTCCTGGAAACCAGACATTGACTGAACTAGTTTGTCTCTCTCCTCCTGGAAACCAGACATTGACTGAACTAGCTTGTCTCTCTCTCCTCCTGGAAACCAGACATTGACTGAACTAGTTTGTCTCTCTCCTCCTGGAAACCAGACATTGACTGAACTAGCTTGTCTCTCTCCTCCTGGAAACCAGACATTGACTGAACTAGCTTGTCTCTCTCCTCCTGGAAACCAGACATTGACTGAACTAGCTTGTCTCTCTCCTCCTGGAAACCAGACATTGACTGAACTAGCTTGTCTCTCTCCTCCTGGAAACCAGACATTGACTGAACTAGCTTGTCTCTCTCTCCTCCTGGAAACCAGACATTGACTGAACTAGCTTGTCTCTCTCCTCCTGGAAACCAGACATTGACTGAACTAGTTTGTCTCTCTCCTCCTGGAAACCAGACATTGACTGAACTAGCTTGTCTCTCTCCTCCTGGAAACCAGACATTGACTGAACTAGCTTGTCTCTCTCCTCCTGGAAACCAGACATTGACTGAACTAGCTTGTCTCTCTCCTCCTGGAAACCAGACATTGACTGAACTAGCTTGTCTCTCTCCTCCTGGAAACCAGACATTGACTGAACTAGCTTGTCTCTCTCCTCCTGGAAACCAGACATTGACTGAACTAGCTGGTCTCTCTCCTCTTTTAAACAACACATTGACCACACCACCTTGTCTCTTTCATCTTTCAGACCACAGAGGAACCTTGTCTAGCTGTTCTTTCTCTTCTTTTAAACCGCAGAGTTCCTGATTGACCTGGTCACGTTCTTCTTTCAGAACCCACATGGAGCTGTGTTAGCTGGTGTTTCTCCTCTGTCTGACTGTTGAGTGAGAGGGCAAACTGTTCTCTTTCCTCTTTGAGATCACTGAGAGACCCAATTAACTGATCTCTCTCCTCTCTAAGCTTGCACACTAACTCTGTGGTCAAATGGTCATCCTTTTGGCCCCCTAACTGACGCGGTCGTGTGGTCACTCTGTAGTCCACCACTATTCATTGACTCTGGCATGTGATCACCTTGTAGACTGGTCACGAACCCTACCGGGGGTTGACCCTGTTGTGCGTACACTGACCCAACCGCTTGCTCACCCTTTTGACCGCACTCTGACTCAGTGGTCAAACCATGGTCACCCTGTTGTAGGCCTAGCTGACCGCTCTCAGTCAGTCTCTACTGCGGCTCCATGATAGTGTTGAGGTCATCCTCGGTCTTCCTGGTCAGCTCGGTGATGAGACCTCCCTGCTCCTGGTTCTCCTGCCCCAGCCTGGTACTCTCGCTCTCAAGCATGGAAACCTGCAGCCTGAGATGGACCAGCTTCCTCTCACTATATCCCTCCTGGACCAGCTTCCTCTCACTATCCCCGTCCTCACTATCCCCCTCAGTGCCCAGTTCTCCTGGTTCAAGGCTAGGGCTAGGTCATCCTGGGCTAAGCCATACAGGGATAGGTAATCATTGGGTAATGCTAGGATAGTATCATTCTGGGTTGGAGTTGCGGTGAGCTTTCATCACTCACCGGGTCAGTGTTGTCCACAGGGCAGGGGACTGGTTGAGCCAAGGCAGGGGTGTTGGCAGGGCGGTAGCCAGGCTGGGGCTGGAGTCTGCTGGGCTGGCACCAGAGCTAGTGCTGGCGGTAGAGACAGGGATGGGGCTTGGGTCAGTAGAGCCCGGGCTGTGGTTGATCTGTCTCAGGGTGTGGCTGAGCCTCTTACTCTGTGTCTGGTTCTCCTCCTGCAGCTCCTCCACCTCCTCCGTCAGGGAGCTCTCAGTCAGTTTGAACCTGTCGACCACCGTCCTCATCTACTCCACCTTACACGACAGGAAGTGGCCGTTCTCCTGCGCTTCCTGCAGCTGTTCTATCAGCCCCCTCCGCCAGCCCCCTGAGGTCCTCCTGGAGGCTGAGGATGAAACGTCTCAGTGTGGCCTCACCCCCCGCACTCTCCCCCTCCCCCTCTCTTTCATTCCCTCCCTACTTCTGCTGGAAATGCTGTCCGTAGTGTCTCCACTGTGTATTTTCCTCCTCACCCTCCCCGTCCTCCTCCCCTCCTTCCTCCCTTGGGTGGGCCAGTCTCTCGGACTCTGTCTCTGTCCTCCGTTGGCCTGAGGTTGGTACCGTGACGGGGTTGACATTTGCTGCAGTAACGGAGTTGACGCTAGTTGCGTTGAGAGTGGCTGCAGATCCAGACATCTCCAGAACCTGTCTCTCCAGCTGGTGGACTCTGGCCAGGCCTGCTCCTTGTCTCTGTCCAGGCCTAGCTTGAGCTGCAGCTGGCTCTTAAAGTGCTCAATGTACTAAGACTGGCGACCCATCTCCTCTTCTTTAGCCCTGAGCTGGGCCTGTCAGACCTGTAGCCTCTCCCTCCACACACGATTCCTACGCTCCTGGGACTGGGAAAGACCGGTTAGATAATTCTACTGTTACGATAGAACTATGACACAGTTACACCTCAATTTGAATAATGTCATACACATCTCACATAATGCAACAGAGAGGGAGACTACAGTCACAATAGCACTACAACTGAGAAATGCTAGATTTAAACCACACTTACAATACACTTACAATACACTTACACAATAATTACACATTATTACAACAGGCTTATACTACAATTTACAGTACAGCTTACAGGACTTGGACATTGAAGTACTGCTCACTCTATATGCCTCATTGAAGCTCATGTAAAGCTTAGTACAGTCTCTACTCACCATGGAGCGCATGGAGCCGCTCGTCCAGCCTCTGGCGCTGCTGCATGCTGGGAGAGTGGAGGACTGAGTTGGCTGTGAGGTCCTCCACCTTCTGTAGCAGGCTCTGCTCTGACACCAACTCTCTGATCCTGCACATGATGACGACATGACTCATTAGATCACATGACATTGTCATACCATTACATGATTAGCATAGCATTACACGATTAGCGTAGCATTACATGATTAGCATAGCATAGCATTAAACAGAGATGAGACCTTTCAAATTGTTTCTACCAGTCATCTGTCCAAGAGAAAGTAGTAGTGTGCACATATACCTCACCGACAGCAATGTTAGAAATAAACCCCCAACAGTGATATCATGCTAAGAGGTAAGCAACAGTCTGTTACTGTGTCATCATGCTGTCTGGTAAACTGCATGTTAGCACGACAGTGCTGGCCATATGTTGGTGTAGCTGTGTGATACGTGATCCCTGTCTCTCAGTCACCTGCTCCTGTTGTGCAGCAAGCTCTCAGACTCAGTGAAGGAGCTGATGTTGTCTCTCAGGCTGTGCTCTAGAAGCTTTACTCTGTGGGTCAGAACCTGGAGGTCCGGGGTGCCATCGGGACCCGTTACCATGATTACAGACCGGCTCCAGCTTCAATCCCAGCTGTGGTAATCATGTGCCCCTCCATGGTTGTGTTCATGGGTGACCTCCTCTCTAGAACCTGCAAACCAACTGTTTCAGTTCATAAATCTTGCTGATAGTCCCCCCCATTCTCCTTCCCCTCTCTTTCTCAACAACTCCTCCCTCTCTCTAGCACTCTGACCTCCCTCTTCCTCTCCCTTCCCCCTTTTCATCCCTTTTCTGTGGTTTAACACACACAGTCATTTTAGTCATTTAGCAGACGCTCTTATCCAGAGCGACTTACAGGAGCAATTAGGGTTAAGTGCCTTGCTCAAGGGCACAGACAGATTTTTCACCTAGTCGGCTCGGGGATTAGAACCAGCGACCTTTCGGTTACTGGCACAACGCTCTTAACCACTAAGCTACCTGCCGCCCCATTCATGAGACTAGCAGCTCGGCCTTAGACATGCTTCCACCACCAACCTCTCCCTAACCACAACAAGCCCCTCCCCCTCATCACCAAGCTCTCCCAGCTAGCCACGTTTTTGCGTAACTCAGATTAACCTAATGAATGAGCACAATGTGGAGCCAATCGATAACTCAGAACTGCACAACAGAGCTGGAAAAGGAAGTATTTGTGTTGGGTTTGTTTTGTTTTGTCAAGGTAACTGAAGTTAGACAAATACAGCGCTGTGATAATATAAAGTAACTTACCTACTGAGGATTTGTTGTTGTGTTCCACAGACCGGTGACTCATTCTGTCCCAGTAGTCCTCTGGTGTCCCCCAACTCCGGAGAAAAGAGCTTTCACTTCTTGCTCGTTGAACTTGGCCATGACAGCCGTTTCCATGGAGACCCTCCTGCACTGAGCTTTCTGGGAATGTCCAGTGCCCAGGACTTGGCTAGTCTGTGTTAGGACATCCTCCAGCTTTCTTCAATCAATTATTTATCCTCCTTCTCCTCCTCTCCGATTGCACTCTTTTGTTGTCTGGCTCTAAATCCATCTGAGGCACTGTCTCCATCTCAGTTTCTCCGTTTCTTCATTGACCTGCTTCAGGTGTTCCAGGCACAATGATCATGCTTTTTAGGAACTCACATTAGAGTTTGGCTTCCACATTAATGTTCCACTTCCAGAAATGGTATGGGAGACTACCTTTATAAAAAACACTGATATACCTCTTTACATGTCTCTGATATTTGTTCACTTTTCAAAGTCATGGTTTTGTTTTGCATTCCAGGTAAGGGTCTTCCACAAAAGTGCATGTTTATCAAAAAGGCCATATAAGGTCTGTGAACCATCTAAAAATGCATGAAAAAACAAATATGTTGTGTTTCTCTTCCTCACTCTCCACCTGAGTGCCTTAGCACCTGTGAAAACAGACAAATGGCCATCAAAACCATCATCATGTTATTACACAGTATTATGGCGGTTGTGTAGGTGTGTATCATTACCTGTTGTCGGTCAGTGTCATTAAGGCCAAAGAATAAAAGCTAGAGAGAAAAACAAAAAGAGGAACAAAAACTAAAAAAAGAAAATAATTTTAAAGAATGGTCATAAAAGGAGAGAGGAAGACAAGTGTTAATGTTATCTTTAATAATTCAAACTAAAAAGTCAGACTACATGCTCCCATAACACTCAGAACCTCTACATGACATATATACCTTTTCTTCTATTTCCTTTACTTGTCTCTTTTGCATCTCAATCATGTCTTCCAACTGTCTTATTCTCTGTAACGCAAATAACACAGAACGTATAGTTCAGGAGGTCAACTTCATACTTATGACAGGCAGCATACGATAGTTCACATGGGTAATGTGTTGCCTTACTGTCTTTCATTATCCTCAGAGTTTAAGTAGAAAATGAAATGGTTATGGTTGCTAAACAGTTACTAATAAAAGTCTGTTCCCACATATTCCCAAAAAGCTGGTCTACTACCATGTTACCATGGCAGCTGTTGCAGGGTCAAATAAAATCCCACTGCCATGACAACGAGCAAGTGGAACTTTGTTCTGTAAGACCAGGTTCTGATTTGTTGACTGAAAGAAGATTAGAAGTAGAACCTATAACCTTTGGTATTGGCTACACTGGCCCTGCTTCCCTCTGCTCCTTCCCTGTCCTTCAAAGGGGGAATCTGCAGTTTGAACAATAACAGCTGAGGCATGGTGCTGGAGAAATGTAGCCACTCTCAAACTCATGGACAGAGCTATGGATACAGGGACTAAAAGTCTAAAAATTGATGTAGCAACTGCAGATTGCCCCTTTAAACACTACAGGCTAATGAGAAAGAACTGGCATTTGAGACAAACAAACTGTGTGAAATCCGAAACCTTCACTGGAACAATACCAGTCCCAATCCACTGGTAGGTAATCCTGATCATAGAATTAGGAATTAGAATAGTAATTTAATACGATTTCTATGCTCCGGATAGAGTTATGAAACACTGGAACCACACTGATCACATTTGCGTGGCTGACCTGAATGCTAAAAGTGGCTTAGGTCATAACCACAAGACAGCTGAGTCAGCCAGAGAAGAGGCAGAGCCAGGAGAATAGCTGTTTTGGGGATGTGATTAGTGTGAGATCCTAAAACTGCACCCAGCATGGCTGGTGGAAGAGACACCACTGAAGAGAACACTCGGAAGACTCACTCAACTGCGGGTCAGTTACAGAGAATGTTTTATTATAATTCATGTCTTTAGTCAACTGTTATGGTGTTATAGATTAGAAAGTTTATGGTTAGTTTCTGAAGCAATGGATCGCATAAGGTTAAGATAAGACGTGTTACGTTGAGGTTATGAGTGGAAGACTTTTAGTTATGAGGTGAGGCATATAAAGACGATTAGAATAAGGATAGGGCTTCTGTGAAATGCTGACGTTTGGAGGGATACACTAAATATAAGGACTCACACACAAAAGCAGGAGGAATACTGCATCTCTATACAAATACACACCGACACTCATACATATACGTAGAGGGAGGGAGGGATACTGCATCTTTATACAAATACACACCGACACTCATACTGACACACATTCAGACACGTATAGAGAGGGAGGGATACTGCATCTTTTCTCTGTGGCGGCTGCAGGTTAAGGCCTTCCCTTACCTGCTGGGCCTGCTGTAGCAGCTCCATGCGCTCCTGTAAGATCTGACTGTCATACTGGCGGCTCTGCCTGAGTATCTGCCTCCGCAGTTTGTCCACAGCTAGCCTCAGCTCCTCCCTCTGCCTGTCCGACAGAGACTCTGCCACCGCGCGCCCACCGGGCTCCTGCTGCAGAGCGTTATACAGCGTAGCCTCCAGCTCCGCGATCCTCTGTCATACAGCCACACACACACACAGGCATGCCACTGTGATCATGGCAGAGATGGAAAACACTGTTCCACTTTATATCTAGTGTCGCTATAATGATGTTTTGTTCATGGTAATTGCATGGTAACTACAGTGTGGGTACTAAGTATACTTTGTTACATAGTACTAACAGCTATGTCTTATTACGCCAGTGTAGTTACCATGTAAATACATGCTTCTATTGACACAGTATAAAGTGGAACTAAAAACACAAATACACACCAAAAAAACACACTGAATACAATGTATAAATGGTAGTGAATGCTACATACTCTTGCTGTTACCTGACTCTCATAATGGTGGCAGTGAGTCTTGAATCAAGTTAGGGATTTGAAGAACATAAAACATATGGGCTGTTTATGCCTTTACTCTGTACTCAGGCATTCACAAATCTATAGCCTACGGTTTTTTTCCCCTCGACACACCTTCTCATTAGAATTACACACTTCACTCAGGCATTGAGTCTTAAAGTACTACGGATATGTCTGAACAGTAAAATACAGCCATACTTTTCCAGTCAGTAGGACATGTCTCTTTCTGTCCTGTAGTACCCAGTGCAAACAGGGATTCATTGAGGTAAAAGATGCAGTATCCCGACAACACAAACTCAAACAGGGTTTGGTCTCTGGGTTGGTGATGTTTGATGGGTTTATATCAGCTACAACATGCTTGCACTTTATGAAACTAATGGATTAGAACTGGTGCTTGTTAATAATGACCATTGGGTTTTAATAATATTATAATAATAAATGCCATTCAGCAGATGCTTTTATCCAAAGCGATTTAGTCATGTGTGGATACATTTTTACGTATGGGTGGTCCCAGGAATCGAACCCACAATCCTAACGTAAAAGGCGCCATGTTCTACCAACTGAGCTACAAAGGACAACCACCCATATTCCTACAAGCAGGAGACAGCTCTAGAGTAACCCTGCTGTCCCATCATGTTGCTGTGTCGTACCATGTAGGCCTGATCCAGGGCCTGCTTCCTGTAGTCCAGCTCCTCCTCCAGGAAGCCCTTCTGCTTACTGAACAGGTCCTGGAACAGCCACAGCACAATAGAGGATATGACATCACAGGATTTGACATCACATGATATCACATCATCATGACAACGGTGTCATGTACTGTGTGTGAAAGTTGTAGAAGAACCACTGATGCATGGTCCGATATCTTTGTCTTTTTCGCTCACCTTCTCATTCTCCAGGTCAATCATCTTCTGGGTCAGGGCTGCCTCTGTGCTGTCTATCTGCTTTAACCACTATGGAGAGAGACAATTAATTCCACAGCAGTTAATGGATATGACCAGTAGGTGTCAGTAGAGGCAGGCTGAGTGCTGGTGATAATGATGATGATGATGGAGAGACTGACCTTCTCACACATTGAGAGAACCGTCCCCGCCTGGATGACAACAACCTGCTCCTCATTACGCAGGTTCTGGAGAGGAGGAGAGGAAGAGGAGAAAAGAAAGGGATAAAGGATGAGGGAAATAATTAAAGTATTTAAGGTTTTAATTGAGAAGGAAAATCTCAGTGTGAATTTTAGTAAGAGTGTTCTATTGAGAGCATTAGGAAGAGTGGAGAGACAATGTAAACTCACTCCATTATCTCCCAAGATATCCAGCTTCTTCATCAGATCTGGAATAACCACGTCCTAAAGAGGGTTTACACATCCAGTTTATATAAGCAGAGAGCGAGAGAGGGGGGAGCGAGACAGACAGAGAGAGAGGGGAAGAGCGAGAGAGGGAGAGAGAAAGAGAGATACCTTAATGCCCTCCTGGTGGCAGTATATCTGCAGAGCACTGTTGGTGTTCTCTGGGAAGGTAGTCATGTGGAAGCCCATGGCTGGAGACCTTCGTTCCCTCTCCTATTGGACAACACAGACAGTTAACCCCGCCCTCACACACACACAATCTACACACAGTCCTCCTCGTCCACTTTATAGACCACAAAGTCAGTCCCCTAAAGAGACAGCACAATCCAACTAACGTTCTGATTGGGTAGGTTGATGAGTGAGACGGATAGTGAATGGGTAAGGGTTGGGAACTGAACTGCATGATGTAATGATGTACAGTACTTACATGATGAGGATAGCATGCTCAGAATCTGTCCAAATAAGGTGGGTGGAGAAACATGTTTAAAAAGGTGAAGCAAACCAAAGTAAATGGGTTTTTTAAAACATCAAATGTATGAGTGTTTAAGTGACTGAGGCACTTTGGGTGCATTATGGGTCCACCCATCCTTAGGAGTCTGTGTATTACGAGTTTATTTGATCTCATCTTGAAGTGATAGAGTATATCCTATGATCTCATAATGAAAGACACTGATCCTACATCAGTTGTTGGAGGCAGTGTGATTGAAACAGTAGGTGAAACCTGAAAGGTGGAAAGCTATGCAGTTGATAATCTTCTGTTGTGAGAGAATTTAAAAAATCTAGGAAGTGTGACTAACAGTTTGAAAGTCAACTGAAATAAATGTACGTTTTTAATAAAAGTAAATAAAACTTAACTACATGCAGGGAGGAGAGACAAATGAACAAAGATGGGGTGGATGGTGAAATTAAATACATTTTATTCCATACAAATGTATATTCATCTCACTTAAGACAACATTCTTGTACATCTTTCAATTTAAAAAATACAACTTTTCCAGTTCAGTGGGGATGGTAAGGCAGTCACAGAAAGCAAAATGAGAAAATACAGGGTACATACAATGGGTCGAAGCACAGTAGTGTGTGTGTGTGTGTGTGTGTGTGTGTGTGTGTATTCTGGTCACTGTATGTAGGTCCTGCGTCGGGTGTGCAGGCCGGTGTCGCCCCCTGGGGACAATTTGATGGTGGTACACTCTCTTACTTCCAGCTCTAGGACTCTGAACTCCAGCAGCTCATTCTGGTCCCTCGCATCCTGCACCTCCGCCTGTAGCTTCGACCCACCCTGCTGTAACACACACATCTACAAACACACACACACCTTTGTATTTCCCACCACATGACATCATTTATCTATTAAAGTATACACTCAAATGCGCCATATCCTCATGTCCTTTCCTTCAATATGGCTCACAGGACAGTGTTGAGTGACAGAGGAAGTAGGAGGTGTCTTACCTTGTCGTGGAGTTCCTGATTGGCCCTGATGAGGTACTGCTTCTCCTCCACCCACTTAGAATCCTGGAGAAACATACAGTCACACACATCTCAGAAGAAAACTAAGTATCACAACACAGAATCATAGGGGAGAAAAGAGCACCATACCACCCATTGGGGATACTGAACATGCATAAGCACCAAAACCCAAACAGATCCAGCCCTACCTGCTTAGTCCTAGCCCAAACTGGCTGGTTTAGAACAGAGTCCCACAAGCCCAAAATAAGTGAAATAATGACTTTGAATAGTGAACAACACACATGCATCCACAAGACAAACACAAAAAGAAACTGGTGTAGCATGGCTTTATTGAACCAAAATTAAACAGAGAGAAAGTCCACCACCAGCATTACAGAGAAAAGTGCTTAGAAGTCTGCATTGGTACAGTGAAAGAGTGAACAACATGCTGAACAGAGAAACAGGTATATTGAGGCCCCAGAGGTGCGAGCAGTGCAACAGAAAGTGCAACAAGGCCACAGTGACACAAACAGGTAACATGCAGTAAACCAATGTGATGCATGCAACAGGTAACAGAGAATGATAGAGGTAGCCAGGAGTTCTGACCTTTGTGAAACGCTGCTCGGTCTTAGATCTTTTCAATCTATTGACATCATTCTGAGCCATCAACAATAAGATTGAACAATCTATGTGATCTGCATTTGGTATCCATTGGTTTTGACCTCAAATCCAGATACTCTTCTCTACATTTATTTCACTCTGTACTTTTACAAATGTGATTGCTTAAACATGGAAATAATCAAACTGACATATCTTTACAGAGGAATGTATTTAAGATGATTTCCACATTATGTGATTAAAAAAAAAATCTACCTTGTCTTCAGACTCATGTTTGTAAATGGTATAATTTGGTATGATTGGTGGATTTGTTTGGCATGACGTATCATTCAATCAATTTGATCATGAGTAGATAAATGCTGATTCTCTCTTTTCCAGTAGAAAATAGACTATATAAAAAGGGCTGGAAAAAAATACTGGTAACTACAGTTGGTGGAGCATGCAAACAGGGCAGAGTTGTGACATCAGAGTGACATTACAGGATCCTGTGGCAGATCCGGTCGGCATTGCGCCAGGCCAAAAGCAAAACCCCCAGACAGACAAGCAGCAGGGTCAATGAGAGCGGAGCAGCCAGGGACCTCCCCGTCTTCTCCCCGCCCCTTTTCTCTTTTACCTGCCCCCTCTCGGCCAATGCCTTCTCCAGGTCGGCGATCTTCGCCTGGCAGCCAATCAGATCCGCCTGCAACTGCTCACGGTTCTGCGTGAACAGGAACAGAGGCCAGAGTCAAATTAGTTGAATTGAGTTAGTGCTGGGCTGGAACAAAAGCCTGTACATCCTGCAGCCCTTCAAGACCGAAGGACATTAATCTTGTACTCCTCTTGGCAACCGCTCATGTTTTGAGACAGTGATTGTCACATCAGGAGTTTATGGATGGATTTTAGGGGTAGTTGTGTTAAGGGTTATAAGGGGGTAGGGGTCAAAGGTTAAAGCTACTAACCCTGGCTTCTCTCTCAGCGTCGTGCGACCCCCCAGCCTGTTCCTGTAGGAGGGCGTAGGCCCGCTGGAGAGCCTGGTACTCTCTGGTCAGCTGTCTGAACCTCAGTTCTGCCTCTTCACGAGATACACCCTGGAGAAACAGAGACAGGGTCAAACACACACCTGAACACCTTACACATACACCTGAACACCATTAATTTGCGCAAGCATGTACCCACTTACCGCTGAAAAATGCATTGAAAATAAAGGGAGTGTTACTTTATTCACTTCGAAGGGCCATCACCGTTTACGCACCAATTTTTTTTACCATTACACCACTACTAAACAGCTAACACACACAGACACCTTTTCTCACTTTTCGCTCCTCCGTGACCTGGAAACCGATAAGTGGATGAGTGGTCAAGGAGTGTCAATTCTTAAGTAGGCTAACGGAAGACGGTCCTCACCTCCTCAATAGCCTCCTTTTCGTGAGGAAGCACGAGTGTATCCTACCAGAGTTTTGAAATCTGCCACACCCCCTTTAAAATCAGCGATTGTTTTCTTGAAGAAGAAAAGCATGCAAACATTTAAAAACGATATGCTACGTATCCTTTTATCTATAAAATGTCTTGCACAACTAGCTAAATTTGTTTATCACTTTATACATTTCTTTTGGGATTCCACCCTGTAAACATTATTTGCCTGATGACGCGCGATTGGAGAGTCTTATTTAATTCAAACGCCTTTCGTCCACTTCCCCTCTCCTCGCCACATCTCTTTGATTCATTTTGATATTTTTCAAAAGGAGGCCAGAGAGGACAGAGGAGAGAGGACGCAGGAGTTGAGCAAATCCAATTGAGTAAAGGCCACAGACACACACTTACGTCCTCCAGGTCCTCCTCGGGCGTAGCGGGGGTGCGGTCTGTGAGGTCGGTGATGTAAGAGGTCAGAGAGGACGTCTCAGAGTCCACAGACTCCTCATCAAATCCAAAATACGTCTCCACAACATGCCTCTGGAGAGATATAGAGCGGGAAGAGAGATAATCTGTAATATATTGATTTGCACACACACAAAAATGTTAGGAGAAAAGACAAAACACACACACAATTTTGTATAGAACACTCACCTACTGCCTAGTGAAAGCCCCTTGCACAGATTTGGCTGCCTTAAAATTAAATCTAAAAAGGGATTACATACTCCATACTTTCAAAGTTAGACATTAAAACAAAAAACTAAATTAAGTTGTATTGATTGCATGTCTTCACACCCAAGAGTTAATATTTGGTGGAAGCACCTTTGGCAGCCATTACAGCTGTGAATAATTTTGAATAAATTATTGGCTTTTCAAGAGGTGTTGAGTGTTCCTGAATGGTCCAATATCAGTCCTGACTTAAATCTCCTGGAACATCAGAGACAAGGTTTGAATATTGCTGTCCATCAATGGTTCCCAACCAAATTTACTGAGCTTGAGCAATTTTGACAAAAATAATTGATATACAGTATGTTTCCCTAAGAGTTGTGTGAGGTTGGTAATTATTCACAGCAGTCAACGGTGTTTCCACCCAATATTAACTCTGGTGTGAAGACATACGCAATCAATAATCTTCATTTTTTATTACATTTGGAAAATGTTCAAAGATTTTTCTTTCACTTTGAAAGTGTGGAGTAGGTTGTGAAGATCAGTAGCAAAAAAATGTAAGGCAGCAAAATGTGAACACTGTGCAAGGGGTGTGTAGACTTTCACTAGCGACTGTAGACAGTCCATCAACCTTGGAACAATCACATCAACATTCCTTACCGTCTGATTATGAAACCAAAACTATCCTCACAATATTCTCTAAAAGAAAGGCTAATCTCATCCTTCCCATTGATCTTATAGACTCAACAACATTCTCTAAAAACCACAGTCTCCTTCCCATTGTGTTCAGGTCCAATTCAGTCAGTTCAATGGTTACTATACTACAGTAAAGTCCTTACCATCGTGTTTGTAGGTCATCTCCTGACAACCAGAGAAGTAGAGACAGACCATAGCACAAAGGGCGATAAAGAAGGAGAAGTAGAGGATGAGCTGGAAATACTCGTACATACTGTTAATATACTAGAACCTCTCAACAAATCTAGTATCCTCCAAGGCAACCTATACTGATCAAGCCAGTCCTCGGGCACTAAGCTCTGACGCACAACTGTGTCTCAGTCACACACTCCGCAGACAAAGATGGAGAGAGAGAGAGAGTGAGAGAGGAGTGTTAAATAGCATTCACTCCTCCCCAGGGAAAAAACTGGGATATCTTTAAGGCAGTTTCCAGGCCTGCGAGGCAGCAGTAGAATACTTTTCTATTCCAGTCAGACTCTTCCAGTAAGTGTGTTCCGTTCCATTCCCAGTTTGAGTGTGAGAGTTCCAATAAATGTTCCCAGTTTGAGAGTCCCAATTACCGTTTTCAGTTTGAGATTGATAGTCCCAATTACCCTCCCAGCTTGAGTGAGAGTCCCAATTGCCTTTTTCAGTTTGAGATTGGAGAGTTCCAATTGCAGTTTTCAGTTTCAGAGTGAGAGTCCCAATAGCCAGCTCCAGTTATAGATGCAGGGAGTCTGTTGAATCTTCCATCTCCTCCTCTCTTAACAACATACATCACTGACTCTGCAAACTCTATTGCGAACACAGCCCAACTGCGTTCATCGCGCCTCCTCTCCTCCTCATCAACACCTTATCTACCTATCATTCTGAGCTGAACAACAGGTGTCATCGTTCCCCTATGAGCCCAATTATAAAACACACAGTCACACAATTGCACACACACAAAGACACAATCAACACGCAGTGCCCCATTGAGCCCAATTAGACAGAACCAGTGCATCAGCATCATGGGAAGAAACCGTTGCTTAGTGACAACACCACTGAATCAGCAGTGTGTGACCAGAGACATATAGAACACAACAAAGAAACGCCTAGTGCTATAAAACAAAAAACACATGTACACAAACAGAAACCCACACAGAGAGTAGGGTAAAGGGAGCAGTGGTCTTACCTTAGGTGGTAGCTTGAGGGTTCTTCTTCGGTTATTTTTGCAGAGCATCAGTCTGTCACGTTCCTGTGCAAAAAGGAGCAGAGGACAGCTTAGGATTTACAGCCTTTTGAGTCTACACCACATGCATTGTGTACAGTATGTATGAGAATTCTTGGATTGATGTGGGACTGATCCTTAAAATGACAAACTAATTGTAATAATCTAGGCCATCTATCATCCCCTGCGTGTAGAATACTGGAGACAGAATCTGAATTTGGTGTGATTTCTTCCTCAGGAGACTGAAAAGATTTGGCATGGGTCCTCAGATCCTCAAAAAGTTCTACAGCTGCACCATCGAGAGCATCCTGACTGGTTGCATCATCGCCTGGTATGGCAACTGCTCGGCCTCAGCCCAGTACATCACTGGGGCCAAGCTTCCTGCCATCGAGGACCTCTATACCAGGCGGTGTCAGAGGAAGGCCAAAGACTCCAGCCACCCTAGTCATAGACTGTTCTCTCTGCTACCGCACGGCAAACGGTACCAGAGCGCGAAGTCTAGGTCCAAAAGGCTTCTTAACAGCTTCTACCCCTAAGCCATAAGACTGCTGAACAGCTAATCAAATTGCTACAGGGACTATTTGCATTGACCCCCTCCCCCCTTTTTTTACGCTGCTGCTACTTGCTGTTTATTATCTATTATGCATTGTCACTTTACCCCTTCCTACATGTACATATTACCTCAATTACCTCGACTAACCTGTACCCCCGCACATTGACTCAGTACCGGTACACCCTGTATATAGCCTTGTTATTGTTACATTATTGTTGCTCTTATTTTTTACTTGTCGTTTATTAGTAAATATTGTTGGTTAAGGGCTTGTAAGTAAGCATTTCACGGTAAGGTCTACACCTGTTGTATTTGGCGCATGTGACAAATAAAACAATATTTAGGCTTGTCAAAATGCACCCATCGTAAAAAGTGAGACGAGAAGGATTCTTAAGAGCAACAGGGTCAAGAGATTATGACAAAGAGTTGTGTGAACAACACCTTAAATCAGAAGCAAGGAGCCAGCAGAACACCATGCTAATGAGTGAATTATCAGCAGGCTCTGATTAAAGGTGATTAAAAAAGAGAGAGAGTGGTGGGTGGGTGGTTGGTTGGTTGGTGAGCGTCTGGAGGGCAACCCAGGGGTACAAAGGATCAACATGTTACCCAACAGTTCACTGACCCTAACGGCACCCATTTTATCCCACTGTTTCAATGTACTCTGGTAAAATTCAACAAAATGGCCGCCTGTTTGTTTATGAGCTAGTCAGGTGCCATGATTCACTAATCTCACTACAATAATGATCTGTCAATGCCCTGTTGTTTGGAAGTTCAGGTGATTTAAAGATCAGATAAACTGCAGTGTGAATGTCTGTGTCCATCTCCCTAACCTGCGTGAGTTCGTCGATGATGCCTCGTTGCTCGGCAACCTGCAGCTTGAGGAACTCTACTTCCTGTTCCTCGTGAGCATGGCTTAGGTCTGTCAGAGAGGTAGGCCTCTTCAGCTGCTGGGGCTGGGGCTGCTGGGAACGAGAGTGCACCTTCTCCTTCTGGGGGGGAGGGAGAGCGGGAGAAAGAGAAAGGGGAAGAGAGAGAGGGAGGGAGGAGAGACATTCTCAGGGTTAGGCGACTCGAGCAGTGAGGTCAAGAGACAGGATTTCCTGAAACATGACGTAACTAAGTTGTGCAAGGTGACTTTGTAATCAAGGAGAAATGTCACACAGATGCTGCTGCCTAATTATCTTGATGCTTTTTCTCAGATATCCACTGGAGGACTCCCTTTCCCTCCATTTCACAGAGCAATTATACATTTCACATGGTACCTACTGGACAATGTACACAATAGTGAAGACATTAAAACTATGAAATGACACATCATGTAGTAACCAAAAAAGTGTTAAACAAATCAAAATATATTTTATATTTGAGATTCTTCAAATAGCCACCCTTTGCCTTGATGACAGCTTTGCACACTCTTGGCATTCTCTCAACCAGCTTCATGAGGTAGTCACCTGGAATGCATTTCAATTAACAGGTGTGCCTTCTTATTAAAAGTTAATTTGTGGAATTTCTTCCTCTTAAAATGCGTTTGAGCCAATCAGTTGTGTTTGTGACAAGATAGGGGGTTATACAGCAATAGCCCTATTTGGTAAAAGAACATCCATATATGGCAAAACAGCTCAAATAAGCAAAGAGAACAACAGTCCAATCATTACTTAAGACATGGAAGGTCCTTCAATACGAAACATTTCAAGAACTTTGAAAGTTTTCTTCAAGTGCATCATCGCAAAAACCATCAAGCGCTATGATGAACTGGCTCTCATGATGACCGCCACAGGATTGGAAGACCCAGAGTTACCTCTGCTGCAGAGGATAAGTTAATTAGAGTTACCAGCCTCAGAAATTGCAGCCCAAATAAATGCTTAAAAGAGTTCAAGTAACAGACACATCTCAACATCAACTGTTCAGAGGAGACTGTGTGAATCAGGCCTTCATGGTCGAATTGCTGCAAAGAAACCACTACTAAAGGACAACAATAAGAAGAAGAGACCTGCTTGGTCCAAGAAACACGAGCAATGGACATTAGACTGGTGGAAATGTGTCCTAGTTTGAGATCCAAATTGGAGATTTTTGGTTCCAACCGCCGTGTCTTTGTGAGACGCAGTGTGGGTGAACAGATGATCTCCGCATGTGTAGTTCCCACCGTAAAGCATGGAGGAGGTGGTGTTATGGTGTGGGGGTGCTTTGCTGGTGACACTGTCTGTGATTTATTTAGAATTCAAGGCACACTTAACCAGCATGGCTACCACAGCATTCTGCAGCGATACGCCATCCCATCTGGTTTGGGCTTAGTGGGACTATCATTTTTCAACAGGACAATGACCCAACACACCTCCAGGCTGTGTAAGGGCTATTTTACCAAGATGGAGAGTGATGGAGTGCTGCATCAGATGACCTGACCTCCACAATCCCCCGACCTCAACCAAACTGAGATGGTTTGGGATGAGTCAGACCGCAGAGTGAAGGAAAAGTAGCCAACAAGTGCTCAGCATATGTGGGAACTCCTTCAAGACTGCTGGAAAAGCATTCCAGGTAAAGCTGGTTGAGAGAATGCCAAGAGTGTGCAAAACTGTCATCAAGGAAAAGGGTGGTTATTTGAAGAATCTCAAATATAAAATATATTTTGATTTGTTTAACACTTTTTTGGTTACTACATGATGTGTCATTTCATAGTTTTAATGTCTTCACTATTGTGTACATTGTCCAGTAGGTACCATGTGAAATGTATAATTGCTCTGTGAAATGGAGGGAAAGGGAGTCCTCCAGTGGATATCTGAGAAAAAGCATCAAGATATAATAATCCATCTACCTGACAGGTGTGGATATCAGAAGCTGATTAAACAGAATTATCATTACACCAGGTGCACCTCGTGCTGGGGACAATAAAGGCACCTAAAATGAGCATTTCTCTACCATAATCCGCCTCCAACATCATTTTAGAGAACTTGGCAGTACGTCAAACTGGCCTCACAACCGCAGACCACATGTAACTACGCCAGCCCAGGACCCTCATATCCGGCTTCTTCACCTGCGGGATCGTCTGAGACCAGCCACCCGGACAGCTGATGAAACTGAGGAGTATTTATGTCTGTAATAAAGCCCTTTTGTGGGGGAAAACTCATTCTGATTGGCTGGGCCTGGCTCCCCAGTGGGTCTTCCTGTAACTAATTAAAATCTTTGAAATTGTTGCATGTTGCGTTCATATTTTTGTTCAGTATAGTTTCCTCTTAATCCATTGGCTATACTCCTGTTACACTTATCAACAATTTGGTCCAAATACTTTCAAATGGTGTCCTCTCCCCGTCATGAAGGAGACAAGACACGGAAAGGAGACAAGGAAAGACAAGGAAAGTAGACAAAGAAGGATATTTATGGTTCCCTCACCATCTCTGCGTTCTCTCTGCTGAGGTTCTTGAGTTTCTCCTCCATGCGCTGCAGAGTCTGCAGGAGGTCATCGTTCTTCTTCGACATCCTCTTATACTTATCTAACAGGGGCTTCATCTGACTCTCTGCCTCACGCACCCGCTTCAACTGACCAAGATGGAGGGAGAAAACAAGAGAAATAGTGAGGAGATGTGTAGACCTATTTTTATATACCTGCACATTTCCATAATATCCCTTCAATGTTCCCATAACGTTTCCATAACGTCCCTACAATGTTTAGTTCTCCACCAAGTGATTTTCTGTAGCTGTGTGTATGTGTGTGTTCCTCACCAGTTCGTTCCTCTCATCAGCCAGCAGCGTGTTCCTGTCCTCCAGCTTCCTGGTAACAGAGTGGAGCTCAGCTATCTTCAGCTGGAACCTCCTTGCATCCCGAAGATCTTCCACCTCCTGAGAAAGACAGAAAGACAGAGACAGAAAGAGAGAGAGAGACAAAGAGAGAGACAAAGAGAGAGAGAGAGAGAGAAAAATTGGGGGAGATGATTAGAGAAAAAGACAATGTGTGAATGCGCTGACCACCGGGTTTTTGGAAAATGCCATGTCAGTAAAATGTGCTTGTGTGCATAAGTGTGTGCTTGCGCGTACCTGTGTGTGTGTATTTTAATGGGGTTGTCCTCACCTGGTTGTTGATATAGTCCTGGGTATCCCCCAGGGTAGGGACCACCTCTCTCTTGGGGCTGCCATGGTGCCTCTCTGCCTCCCTGACTTGGCCCAGCTGCTCGTCCAGAGCCTCCTTCTGCAGCTGGAGCTTCTGGGCGTAACCTGCCTGCACCCCCAGCTCCCTCTCCAACGCAGAAACCACACGGTCCTTCCCCTTCAACTCATCCATCTAGAGGGTGATAGAAAGAGAGATGTGAGGATGAGGAGAGAGGGAGACAAAGATAGATATGAGAGAGAGAGAAAGAAGGGGGGAGAGAGAGTGAGAACAAGAGAGAGAAAAGGTAACAAACCTTCACTCTGGAACTCTTTAGCCTTAACCCGAGCTGCACGCTCTCTCTACCCCATTGCTCTCTTCCTCCAAGAACAGCTCACTCTTTTCCAACCAACAAAGTATGCAACACCAACATTGTTGAGTGTAATTAATTCATGAATCCTAGTTCATTTTCTCTTCCTGTCTTCATCTCACTCCCCTCTCTCACTCTCACTTCCCTTCCCTCTCCTTTTTCCAGTCAAATGATATAGTCAAATGTCCTGGCTGTAAAGCAGGTTAGTGATACATCTTTCATGGCCCTGTGCTATTGTCCTGTGTTCTTCGGTCTATGTGTTATCTGTGCTACCTGGGTCTCTGATAAGCAAAACTACACTGTGTGAAATAGAACTGGAGATCAACATAGGGTACAGTGCATTTCAAGCTATCGATCAGATACAGTGCATACAGGGAAACGCATACAGGGAACTCAGGATCTGAGGAATCAGTCTATTGTTTGAGGGTAGTTCCAATTTCACTTAGCTATGGTTTATATTGGTTTGGAATTTGGTTAACTTTCAGGTCACTCAGCACCAGACAATCATGTTGTCTCTCACATGGTCTTGTTTGATGTGGGTTAGGATCAATCAGGGGTTATGTGATCGGGGTTATGGTTTGCAGACAGGCACATCGTGTGCGGTCATGTTACGGTCGACTCACCACCCTTCGGATGTCTCGCTCGCAGTCTCTCTTGATGCGGTTGATCTCATCCTGGTGCTGCTGGTAGGCTGTTCGGAGGTCGGCTGCTTTGGCCTTGTCTGCCTGCAGTGCGTTAGCCAGGGCCTCCTCAACCTGCTTCCGTGCAGTCTCCTGCTTCAGGGCCTGAGGGGAACACACACACAGACACAGTTAGAGTGTATATACACTTCCAAGTACTGGGACCCTGAAGCAATTAAGATGATTCAGGAGATAGTAATGTCATATGACTCTGCTAGTCCAGAAACAAAGAAAATGCTCTGTGTCTTTAAATAAGAACTTTAAAAACCAGACTAAACAGTCAAACTTCTTATACTGAAAACAAGAGGCATCTACCTGTGAGAGGAGTCTAGCTGGTAGTAGAAGGAATTTGTAGTAGCCTAACCTAAACCAGGCTAGGACTCTGATTGACCATGGGAAAAAACGACTACGCCAATACCACAATGCAAGGTGGATTCAAGTTGATCCCCAAGGTCAACCTACCTCCTGCTGCAGTTTGAGTCTCTCCCCATCGAAGGCCCTCCTGGCCTCCTCCCGGGCCTCTCCTAGCAGGGCGCTCTTCAGTTTGTCAGCCGCCCCGTCCCTCAGAGCGTGGACCAGCCCCTGGAGCCGCTGCACCTCCCCGTCGCGGATCTTAATGGTACGCGATAGCTCCAACTCGTGTTGCCGTGCCAACACCTCGCGAGCGGTGGCCAGCTCGCGGAGCTTCTCCTCGTGCAATTTGGCGCGGAGGTCGGTGAGGACCACCGTGTGTTTGTGTTGTTCCAGTTCCCTGGCCTGCCTCTGCTCCTGGAGACGCTCTCTCAACTTAGAGACCTACCCAGGGGAGGGAGAGGAGGGTGGGATAGAGGAGGAGAAGGAGAAGTTTGCAGGGGAAATAGGAAAAAGAGAGAGTGATAATGATTTCTTAATAGTATCATTAAACAGTAGATCATTGTATAGCCATTAGATAATCATATCATCATGTCAGAGGGGGCGGGCCTACCTTGCCCTTCTCTTGCTGCAGTTCTATCTGGATATCCATCAGCTTGCTCCTCAGCTCCTCATTGGCTGTCTGCGGCGAGTCACCCATGCCCTCCGTCCTCTCCTTCCCACGCGTCTTCTTGGAAGGCGGGGCTGAGGTGGGTGTGGTCGATGACATCGTGCTCCGGCCGCCCAATTAGAGGGCACGGCTCAGAGTGGATGAGGAAGTGCAGGAGAATCAGGCGTTGCTCTTCAACCCCACACAGCCTTCCATATGTAACTTCATCATCCTCATCTACATCACTGGCTGGATATCCGTCTGTCCTGCAGAGGGATAAGAACAACAGGTTAGTAATGAAAACAAAATCGTAGGCCAGCAGAGTGTAGCCTGAGGAAAACATTATATTTTGAGACGTAGAAACACCCACACACACACACGCTCACACACATGCTCACACAGACAGACACACACGTACGCACACACTTTAAACATCCACAGAGAGCACACTGGCAGCTCTCTGGCCATTTATCATAATCCAATTCCTCTCCCTGGGATCCGCTTAGAGGCTCCATTGTGCATGAAAATCTGTCTGGCCAGGACAGTCTGGGCTACTACAGTCAAGAAAACCCTCTACTACAACAGCCAAGAGAACCCTATAGCCAAGAGAACCCTCTAGTACTACAGCCAAGATAACCCTCTAGTACTACAGCCAAGAGAACCCTCTAGTACTACAGCCAAGAGAACCCTACAGCCAAGAGAACCCTCTACTACTAAAACAAAGAGAACCCTATAGCCAAGAGAACCCTCTAGTACTACAGCCAAGAGAACCCTCTAGTACTACAGCCAAGAGAACCCTCTAGTACTACAGCCAAGAGAACCCTACAGCCAAGAGAAACCTACAGCCAAGAGAACCCTCTACTACGACTGCCAAGAGAACCCTACAGCCAAGAGAACCCTCTACTACTACTGCCAAGAGAACCATACAGCCAAGAGAACCCTCTACTACTACAGCCAAGAGAACCCTACAGCCAAGAGAACCCTCTAGTACTACAGCCAAGAGAACCCTCTAGTACTACAGCCAAGAGAACCCTACAGCCAATAGAACCCTCTAGTACTACAGCCAAGAGAACCCTCTAGTACTACAGGCAAGAGAACCCTACAGCTAAGAGAACCCTCTACTACTACTGCCAAGAGAACCCTCTACTACTACAGCCAAGAGAACCCTACAGCCAAGAGAACCCTATAGTACTAAAGTCAAGAGAACCCTACAGCCAAGAGAACCCTCTAGTACTACAGCCAAGAGAACCCTCTAGTACTACAGCCAAGAGAACCCTACAGCCAAGAGAACCCTCTACTACTACAGCCAAGAGAACCCTAAAGCCAAGAGAACCCTCTGGTACTACAGCCAAGAGAACCCTACAGCCAAGAGAACCCTCTAGTACTACAGCCAAGAGAACCCTACAGCCAAGATAACCCTCTACTACTACAGCCAAGAGAACCCTACTGCCAAGAGAACCCTCTACTACTACAGCCAAGAGAACCCTACTGCCAAGAGAACCCTACAGCCAAGAGAACCCTACAGCCAAGAGAACCCTCTAGTACTATACTACAGTCAAGAGAACCCTACAGCCAAGATAACTTTCTAGTACTATAGCCAAGAGAACCCTACAGCCAAGAGAACCCTCTACTACTACAGCCAAGAGAACCCTACTGCCAAGAGAACACTCTACTACTACAACCAAGAGAACCCTACGGCCAAGAGAACCCTACAGCCAAGAGAACCCTCTAGTTCTACAGTCAAGAGAACCCTACAGCCAAGAGAACCTTACAGCCAAGAGAACCCTATAGTACTACAGCCAAGAGAACCCTACAGCCAAGAGAACCCTCTAGTACTACAGCCAAGAGAACCCTATTGTACTACAGCCAATAGAACCCTACAACCAAGAGAACCTTACAGCCAAGAGAACCCTCTAGTACTACAGCCAAGAGTACCCTACAACCAAGAGAACCTTACAGCCAAGAGAACCCTCTGGTACTACAGCCAAGAGAACCCTACAGCCAAGAGAACCCTACAGCCAAGATAACCCTATAGTACTACAGCCAAGATAACCCTACAGCCAAGAGAACCCTATAGTACTACAGCCAAGAGAACCCTACAGCCAAGAGAACCCTCTAGTACTACAGCCAAGAGAACCCTACAGCCAAGAGAACCCTCTACTACTACAGCCAAGAGAACCCTACTGCCAAGAGAACTCTCTAGTACTACAGCCAAGATAACCCTATTGTACTACAGCCAAGAGAACCCTACAACCAAGAGAACCTTACAGCCAAGAGAACCCTATAGTACTACAGCCAAGAGAACCCTATAGTACTACAGCCAAGAGAACCCTATAGTACTACAGCCAAGAGAACCTTACAGCCAAGAGAACCCTATAGTACTACAGCCAAGAGAACCCTCTAGTACTACAGCCAAGAGAACCCTATAGTACTACAGCCAAGAGAACCCTATAGTACTACAGCCAAGAGAACCTTACAGCCAAGAGAACCCTATAGTACTACAGCCAAGAGAACCCTCTAGTACTACAGCCAAGAGAACCCTATAGTACTACAGCCAAGAGAACCCTATAGTACTACAGCCAAGAGAACCTTACAGCCAAGAGAACCCTATAGTACTACAGCCAAGAGAACCCTCTAGTACTACAGCCAAGAGAACCCTCTAGTACTACAGCCAAGAGAACCCTCTAGTACTACAGCCAAGAGAACCCTCTAGTACTACAGCCAAGAGAACCCTCTAGTACTACAGCCAAGAGAACCTTACAGCCAAGAGAACCCTCTACTATTGGACAGTCTGGGACTACTACACATTATTCAGTCTCTCCTCTCCCCAAGCCCTCTTCAGCCATCAGAGGGAGTCCACATCCACTCCTCAGACCCCTGCTGGCCTCTTCCCTCTCCTCATCTAAAACCTCCCACCCTTCTGTCAGTCCTTCTCAGATCCATCCCCACTCCTTAGATACCTTCTGCCCTCCTCTTTGCAGTTATAGTGCAGTTGGTAGCCATGTTGTGCTGCAGATGTGAGAAGTTATTTTATGAGACAGTATGACAGAATATATAAACAGTACCCTCATTGAGAATGGACTTTGTCTCTTTCTAGATTCATAAGGCTAAGGAAGCATTCCAGATTAACCCAGTAACCTCCCTAAATAAATAAATAATTCAAAATGAAGGAGATGAAGCATTAAGACCGGAGGCTGCTCCATCCTTTCCCGCCCGCCCGCACGCACACCACTCACACAGATGGCAGCAATTGTTACCAAGGCAACCTGTGCTCTTAAACTTCACTCCTCCCACATTAAAGGGCCCTGTGAAGGAGGAAAGAGCCTCCCAGAGGATTTCAGACCTCTCGACCGACACACACACACACAGACTACATTATTTCTTTATCTAGAGACCATCTCTCTCAGACGAGGTTGACAGAGTAAGAAATGCATTGCTGAGCGGCAGGGGAGCTCTCTACCACACACCGATAGACAGAATGAACAGGCAAACACTGAGTGGAAACAGGAAGAGATGGAGAGAGAGAGGTGGAGGGGCAATCACACTGAAGGGGCCATAAGGGGGCAATCACACCAAACCTCCTCTGCCTCCTCCCCCCACTCTGTCCTACTTTCCCACCTCCATCCTTTCCGTTGCTATGATGATGTCACGGAGCAGAGTGGAGAGGACAGCAGTTCTCATTCTCACACAGAGAGACAGAGAGAGAGAGAGAGAGAGAGAGAGAGGACATTGCACACAGCCACATACACAAAGAACAACACATTTGTATTCTTACTAACATCTATGTACACAAACACACACAGACTCATTCATTGCAGAGTCAGTCAACAAGCTATGCTCAAAGGTTGTGTTTCGAGCGATCAGCGAAGGGCTATCCCATGTTTGGTGAAAAATAAAATTGTGCAATCAATACCAACAGGATGAGAAGTATGGCTCATCTTGTAGCTCAATATGTGTTTGTGGGTGTAGTTTTAATTAGCACCCAATTGCAGGGTGAATTTGTCAATATGAACATTTTGCAATCTATGTTTTGGAATGTGAATGGAATGGCTCCAGTCGTGACTGTGTCTCTGTGGCGATGAGTTTACTGATCCCCTCATCTAACCCCCCCATGTTCTGTCATAAACGCATGACAACAGAGGGGCAAATGAGTCCTATGGACTGCGGGTTGATTCAACAACGGGGAAAATAGAGAAGATGCCATATTATACTTAAACATCGTCCTAGTAATCTGCTATACTGCTTTCATCGATGCAGTCATTTCAGTAACTCGGCTAAGGCATCAAAGGAAAAGGGCATTCAGGACAGATCCGTTTTCATAATAGAATCCAGCCCAAGTTTAGACAGAACAGAAACACACTGACATGGGGTCTAGTCTTCCAGCCCAGTAACGCATCAAACACAACCACCTCACATCTACCATCCCTGGAACAGATGTGGGGAAGTTTATGGTCCAGGGAAAAGCAGGAACGTAATAACGGGAAGCTATGTTGTTTTATGAGGGTAAAGGAGAAAATAACAAGCGTATGGAGTTAAATGTTAGCATCTCTCAAATTAAAAACATATTTATTAAGAGAGAATACCAGTTCTTAACAACATACTACCATTACCCTCACTCATATATATTTAACATGACTATCACTATAACGCTAGTCTACACAACCAATTCATACACTGACTGAAGTGTATACACTCTCTATATGGAAATATTGCTCAAAGTTCCATGTTTGACCAGTCAAGTCGTATGAAAGGGAAACAGAGCGAAGGACAAACCCGCTCCTCAGAGGCCTAGCTAGTCAAATGTGGCACTGAGACAATCTGCTTAACAAACACAACAAAAGAGCTTAATTACAGAGCAGGAGAATGGGACATGGTGACGAAATACCAACCAACTAAGAGAGAGGCAGACTTCCACTTTAAACTCCCCTAAAGATTCACACAGTAGCAATACCCCTAACACTAGGAACTGACAGAACCAATACCCAATGCTACCAACCAGCAGAATCACTATCCAAACACTGCCTCTCACCAACAACCAAAGCACTGACACTCACCACCATACAGTACAATATATTAGCAGCCTAAGGTGATGTTGAAAAAAATCCCTTCAGAACAGCCAAATGACCAACCTGAACCTAAGCCAAACAATGTAGTATTATTACGAACACATCTTCCTTCCGGAGCTTCCTGTCCCTGAGGCCTTTACTGTGGTTCACACACTACATTGTACTGAGGGTGCTTTTGTTGTGGTACCATATAATGTACCATCATGATTGACATAGTGTACTGTACTGTGTTGTAGTAAAGGTGTCATTGCCAGAGTACAGATATGGCAGCAGTACCAGCTTAACAGTGCAATAGTAGCGTGGCAATAAAGGCAGATGACTTTAGACTCGTCCAGAGCTCATTAGCCAATCACAGATGGACCACCTCGAGGCCAGTCTGCACAACAGAGCCCACACACATACATGGCTGGGTTAAATATGAACATAGCCAAAGTGAATGAAGTGAGACAGAACACACATACTCTTGTACACAAATACTCCACTACACACTGACTGGGTTGAAAATGTACCTATAAAAAGGGAGCAGTGGTGTAAAGTAATTAGGTAAAAATACTTGAAAGTACTACTTAAGTAGTTTTCTGGGATATCTGTACTTTACTATTTATATTTTTGACTACTTTTACTTCACTACATTCCTAAAGAAAATGATGTACTCCATACATTTTCCCTGACACCCAAAAGTACTCGTTACATTTGAATGCTTAGCAGGACAGGAAAATTGTCTAATTCACACACTTCAAGAGAACATCCCTGGTCATCCCTACTGCCTCTGATCCGGTGGACTCACTAAACACATGCTTCATTTGTAAATTATGTCTGAGTGTTGGAGCGTGCCCCTGGCTATCTGTACATTTAAAACACAAGAAAATGGTGCCGTCTGGTTTGCTTAATATAAGGAATTTGAAATGGTTTATACTTTTACTTTTGATACTTAAATATGTTTTAGTATTTACATGTACTTTTGATACTTAAGTATATTTAAAACCAAATACTTTTACTCAAGTAGAATTTTACTGGGTGACTCACTTTTACTTGAGTCATTTTCTATTAAGGTATCTTTACCTTTACTCAAGTATGACAATTGGGTACTTTTTACACCACTGCAAGGGAGGGAGGAAGGGAAGGATGGGAGACAGACAGACACACACACACACACACACACAGAGAGAGAGAGAGGCACACTCTACACATACTGTACATTCATTCACTACAGGATTCTCACACACACACACACACACACACACACACACCACACGGATTCAGCAGGCTGTGCTGTGATAAAAGCTGCAGCAGAGAGGGAGGGAGAGAGAGCAGACTGTGGACTTACAGAACAGGTCTGGCCAGCCTCCAGGCCCAGGATTGGGCCAGGCTTAGACTGACTGACTGACTTGTGACTATGCGTGACGGAGGATCATCGGACATGTGTCAATGTCTTCCATATGGGGAGAAGAGGGCAAGTGACCTGGCAGAGGATGCTGAAACCCTTCTAATGGTAAGACAATGTGACAAATATACTAGGACTATAATAATAATGTTTTTGACATATCTTTTCACTCTTGGACATTAACCACATTTCCATCCACAATTTTTATGCGAGTAAAGTTATACCGTATAAACAAAAATCACGACAGCTGTGATGGAAACAGGAAGTTTCGGAACAATTTTATAAATGCTGACAGAATTTGTTCGTTCGACATGGTGGGATCTTTTTGTGTCGGTAAAATTAATTATGCGAGAAATGGCAGTAGAAACACCTTTAAGTCGCAAATATTGATATAATAACCATCATATCGAAGTAAACTTTGAGTCACGCAATGACATGGTGTGAGCTCCTCCCACTATGACTCAGGAAACCATGCAGTTTATTAGGCTACAGATGAAATACGTTATGATGAACTTCACAGGGTGGTGAAAGTGCAAGGTGATGAGCTTGATGCTCTTTCCCAATCAATGTTGAGGGTCTTATTCTGATGACATGATGATCAATGCTTGACAAAAATATTCTCGCTCTTATCCATAATAATCTCATCATGTAGACTAACCCACTCGCACTGTATCTGCAAGATGTTGGCTAGAGTGCATGTGCCAACACCAAGCTAGGCACATTTACTAATTCAAGATTTTTTTTAATGTTGTTTTCCCCTAAGGTAGTTCCTGGCATGCTGCCTCCATGGCCTTACAAACTGGATGGGCAAATGATACGCCCCTAATACAACCTGTACACATACTGTAATATGAACATTTCTACTGTCAGTACAGCACAGAAATGCTTCCCTTTTCAAGATGGTGTGCCAAAGGCATTTCTAACAGACCTGCTAAACGTTATTTGTTGTTACTTTCAAGGTTGGACTCAACAAGCAGTAGCCTATCTCCGGAAGGTAGAGCCAAGAACCATTTGTCTGCCAGCTCGGGGACAAGCTACACTGCTCACAGCCCTGTGTAATGTTCAATGTAATTGCATATAGTGGACACTTGCTGGACCTTTTGAAACTCAGTGTATTTGTCTTGTTAGGGATAGGGAGCAGTGGTGGACAAAGTCCTCAGTTGTCATACTTGAGAAAGGTAAAGATACCTTAATAGAAAATGACTGAAGTAAAAGTCACCCAGTAAAATACTACTTGAGTAAAAGTCTAGAAGTATCTGTTTTTAAATGCACTTATTTATAGTGGTGGAAAAAGTACTCAATTGTCATACTTGAGCAAAAGTAAAAGCAAACGCTATACATCAAACCAGACGGCACAATTTCCTCTTTTTTTATTTACGGACAGTTAGGGTCACACTCCAACACAATTTACAAACACATTATTTGTGTTTAGTGAGTCCGCCAGATTAGAGGCAGTAGGGATGACAACGCATTATATTGATAGGTGCATGAATGGGACCAATATTGCTGTCCTGCCTGAGCATTTGAAATGTAATGAGTACTTTTGGGTGTCAGGGAAAACGTATGTGAGTAAAAAGTACATATTTTCTTTAGGAATGTAGTGGAATAAAAGTTGTCAAAAATATAAATAGTAAAGTACAGAAGAAAAAAACGACTTAAGTAGTATTTCAAAAGTATTTTTACTTAGTTACTTTACACCACTGATAGGGAGGGTGATAATAATAATAATAGGGTGATGAGTGGAAAGGAAAGGTAAAGGGGGATACCTAGTCAGTTGCACAATTGAATGCATTCAACCGAAATGTGTCCTCCACATTTAACCCCAGCCCTCTGAGTCAGGGGTGGGCATTCACATCATCAGCGCCCGGGGAGCAGTTGTTGTTGGGGGTTAACTGCCTTAGGGTATCAATGTGAACGTGTTTAAAATATAAAGTTATTAAATACTACAATTGAGCATGAATAATCACATTGGGGGTTGATTAGATAACACAATGCGCTGTGTTAAAAAAAATCTACTCAATGCATTGGGTTAAAATAACCCAACGTGAGGTAGGTGCTATAATGAACCATGGTTGGGTTATTTTTAACCCATTTGTTTTTAGTGAGTACAAACAACTCTATATTCACAACAGTCCAAGTCATGATGGGAGCTGCTGTGTTGGGTAAAGAGAGGGGATGGAGGGCTCAACAGTATAATATTGCAGTCTATTAAAAGGACTGCCGGCTACTTACTCTATGTGATGATGGTACTATGCTGAATTTGATAGAGCAATGTGTGGGATTTAAATAGGTGTGTGTGTGTGTGTGTGTGTGTGTGTGTGTGTGTTTTAGGGCCGGGACGATACCAGCATGTCAATATTTTTCCCATGGCAAAAATAAAAACACGACGCAGACCACTCTCTTTGGTCCTTTAAAAACCTGCTGTATGTAAAATGTTTTGTGCTTTATCTTGGAAAATAAATAAATGTGACTCTGGATGACAACATTATGATGTTTGTTTCCAACATTAGGGCTGTTTTCCTAAAGACAAATCTGCTTCATGTTTTGTTTCCTTGCCACGCTACTAACGAGTATCGCGATACCGGTACTGTCCTGGCCCTAGTGTGTGTGTGTAGCTACAGAAGCGCTGGCAGTAAGTAGCAGCCTCTCCTCATCCCCTTACACACAGATGATAGTACATTCAGTAACCTCATTAAACCTGCCTCCCTCTCTCCTTATACAGATCCAGCATTGAAAGCAAGGAGAAAGAGAACAGCTTTAAAATGTGAGGAAGGCAAGGCGGAGTGGGACATGCATTAGACTCAATACCAAATGTATTAGAAGGCCAGGGATAAAAGAGGAGGCGGTAGGGTCAGGAGTTTGGGGATTAGAGGAGAGGCGGTGAAGAGGAGCGATCAAATCGTCCAGGCAGCTGTTGCCCTAAAGATCCAATTAGCAAAGAGTCAATTTGATGCTAAATCTGGGTTTAGGTGCCCAAAGCACCTCCGGATCATCCCTTCTAATCACCATAATTAGTGATGTTAGCGCACAGGACGTGAGCAGAACACATATGTTGTGTCCACTTTGAGAAATTATGGCCATGAGTCCAGTTGTTAAAGGCAATATTACAGTACTGTAGGCTAGAGGAGATGGACATGTAAGATGGACATGTAATATTGGAGATGGACATGTAACTAGCACATCAGCAATTTAACCACCACCAAATTTCGCCTAGGGCCCACCAAACGTCTAGGGCCAGCCCTGCCGCAGACCACAACATCCATATGTATAGCCAAGACGGCTCTAAAAAGCTTCAGATCAGCAATCTATTATGGCCATGTTGTAACATCAGCAGGCTAGACACTGAATGGTACAATGTTATATGGACTCTGTGTGATACAATGTAAAGACGGATGTATAGAGCGAGAATCCACAGCCTGCCTGTCAGTTTGCGCACGTAGCACAAATTAGCTTGCAGAGCTATCGGGCTGGCCAACTGGCCAACATAAACTTACTTAAATGGTGTCAGTCATCAAGTGAGAGGTATCCTTGTCGGTCTGGTTAAATGTTGCTGGTTCTCATCCACTATGGCAGCGGTGCCTCGGCGTCGGTTTACAGAGAGCACTCACACCTCGATTTGAGATGCTGTGCTGGGCGTTCTCTTTTTTCCCATCGAGCAGGCGAGTTACAAACGTATCCTCTCAAATAGCCCGCTATAAATTAATCCCTCTATAATTAGCAGCGGATGATAAAGTTTGGCAAAATGTAGACTAAATTCCACTAAAACGTGGTGTCCAGACTAGATTCACGGTTCTGCGGTGAGTTTCTCTCTGCACGCTGGCTCACACCACGCCTACACACGACGTCAGTTTTCTCTCAAAACATTTCATCCAGCAGCTCGGCTCTCCCGGTAATAAAAAGGGAGAGAAAAAACCAATGCTACGTGGATGTGGGAACATCATGGACGCCGCCGGTAACGCAAAAGACACGCGACACCTGACTGCGTATTCAGGAATGACACCGCACGGGAAGAGCGTGCACGGTCAGAGCAGGACGACTGGTGGTTTGGCATTAACCTATGCAATTACGCATATATGATGCTACCCACCCACCCACTCTCTTTATGATGTGCCTAATAATCCACAAAACCAGTGCTATATCCTAATAATAGGCTATTGAATAATGATGACACCCAATTAACCTCCGACCCTTTGAAGTGGACTGAACGTGAGAGAAACACATTTTTATACCTTAGGCACTGTTCCACTTCCTTCCCTAGTCCATTCTTTGCTACTACATCTGGTGAATACTCGTTATACTGTTCATCATGAGTGGGCGTTTGCGTTAGTGAACATCACCCAGCAGTATAAGTATCTAACATTGAGAGTAAATAAGAGTGTCTGCCTGAAGTCCCACAGTAGTGTGACTGTGACCCAGATTCCCTGGGCCTGGATGGATGCATTACTCACGCCCAGCTGCCTGTCTCTCTCTCTGCCTACTGCTGTGGTCTGTCAGAGTGGTGTTCAACACACACGCACGCACAGACACACACTAACAGAAACCACTGCACACTTTAGTGGCAGCATATGTAGTCCATCGCTGCAGGGCCATAGGATGTTGGGAGGGTGAGTGTGGTTGGTAGGCCTGATGCTGAGGACAGCACAATGAGGCTGCGTTTACACAGGCAGACCAATTCTGATCTTTTTTCCCCCCACTAATTGTTCTTTTGACTAGTCACATCAGATCTTTTCACATCAGATATTTTTCAGAGTTGATCTGATTGGTCAAAAGACCAATTAATGAAAAAAATCTGAATTGGGCTGCCTGGGTGAATGCAGCCTAACAGACTGATAAGGAAGGGGAGGGGCTATGGATGGATGGATGGATGTAGTGTGATGGTTTGAATGTGGGGCAGGCAGAGAGACTGACTAATAGTGAAACTGTTCCTTTTCATAATTGTATAAATGTGTCTCAAAAATTTTTTAAACTTTATTTGTGTGTTGTGGAAAGGGATGTGCGTTTGAGGCCATATTCAGTGTAGGAATAGTGGTGATGAACGCTATAGCTGTTCTATTTCTATGGCTGTACTAAAAGGAGCTGAGTGTAGAAACAAGCCTCTGTCTTAACTTTACATAACCAGCTTAAGAATTCATGAGTGTGTGACATTATGAGCTTAAACATATTCATGAGCATTAACAGTTTATACTAATTATAAACCAGCTTCTTTAGTGACAGTCTGAAGGGCTCAGATGGGACCTGCGAGAGATGAAGTTAGATGGAGATTTAGATAATCAAATGAAGCTTCTGATTGTGATCCTCCTTTCCCACCACTCTCTCACACTCTCTCTCTCTCTCTCTCTCTCTCTCTCTCTCTCTCGCCCTTTCCTACACACACGTCACAATCATCCCGTGGACCCCTCTCTCTCCCCCAAGTCCATGTTCTCAGGCAGTACAGTCCAGGTTCTGAAATGTCCCCTTTTCCCAATGTTGATCCTAGTCCCACCCTGTCACAGCCTGCCAGTAGTGATGTAATGCTTCATATGTAGTTAATTAGGCTTCGTAGGCATGACTCGCCCTCTATTACACAGACTACATGAGTCTGATTCTGATATTCCACATCCTTACCCAAAGAAGCATCCAAAACACACACAGAACAGAACTCAAACACACTGCACAGACTACATATTGGTAGAGTTGGTTATTTATTTGTTCCTGTCCATTGAAAGACCGAACGGAATGTAAACATATATGTCTGTGAGGATTGGTGTATGAGAACAGAACCATGGAAACAGAACCGTTCCATTACACATTCCAGTACTGTGCTTTACTTTACAAATACACCTTTATACCTTTCTCACCCAGCGTCATAACACAGACTTTAGAATATTTAGATGAAAAGCTGCTGTGTGGCCAGTGCAAGGAACAACACGTGGGCTCAGGGTGGAATGGGTATATTTGCTTCAGTGGCTGGAAAGTAAACAAACTTTGTAGTGCGTTTATTAGCATGCTAGGCAAACATGTAACAAAGCCTGTACATGCTGCTATGTAAACTATACACTGAGTGAACAAAACATTAAGAACACCGTCCTAATATTGAGTTGCTTTCTTGAGTAAGGCAGCTCCAAAATGCAGATGTTTCAACCTAGCTCAGTGCTTTCTGTGGTGGTGGGGCAGCCAGCGGAAAATACGGAGCATAGGGGTTGGTAATGTTCACTAGTTGCGCCGTGATTGGCTCAGTGTTCTGACACTCATGGGGACACTACGGTACCGTAAAATCTACGGGGAGAGCTTGAAAATTCAAGCCCCTTGGGTGCTGCCATAGATTTACATTAGAAGTGCCCATCCAAGAAGGCTCAAGGTCCTTGGCCACAGATAAAATGACGTCAAATCACGTTATATCTACCCTAGCTTTGATTGGACTGATCATGTCAACATCATACTTTCAAAATATTAGCTAGCAAGCTAGACAAGCAGTCATCATCATGAATCAAGTCGACAATATACTGGCAAATCCTTTTCAATCCTTGTCATATGAAGATAAATTATAGATAAAACGTATCGGTGCTCATCGGCCATTGGATATAAACATTACACAACAAGTTGGAAATCGCAAATTCAACAATGAGTGCTTTGGAAGGAATCAGTGGCTAACTGTAAGCATTGCAAAGCGATCACTAGCCTGCTATTCAGTGGAGAGGGATGTGTGGTCCAAGTCTGGGTTTAAGGGTCTCTTTTCCAAGTTTAAAAGGATAAACATTCACTTGCAACACAACATTGGCCAGAAAAGGTTGAAAACATTGGCCATGCTGTCAATCCAGCATGACTTCTACCGCATTCAAAACAACTGGAAACTCAGAACAGGGAAATCTCAGACTTCAATGAGTTCAAGACAACTGGAAACTCAGAAAAAAACTAGCTCCGACTAGGAAAATACGTTTTGAACGGTCATCCAACTCGGAATTCCAAGTCAGGAACTCAGGCCTCTTTCTAGAGCTCCGACCTGAAGATCACTGACGTCATGATTCAACCTTGTTTTTTTCAGAGTTCCCAGGTGTCTTGAAAGCAGCATAAATCGAGAGAATGCCTGACTTTGATGACAAAGTTTGATTACAAAATTTGCCCACAAGGACCTTCCTGTTCAAGTGAGCACAGCACAACAAGGTGAGTCCAAAAATGTATTGTATGCTGCTGCATAAATTGTGTAATATGCCAGGGAGATATGTATACTGTAGCTAAGAAAGTAATACTAAGTGTATGTTGTGTAGTACGCTGTTAGTACCCATGTGCCTCACCCTAATAATTTGGTCCCTTTCCTCTTCATAACTTAGCCTACTGTTCTGACTCGGTGGTGCACATGTAGCCTATAGCCTGTTTTAGAGAAATGTAATCATCAAATATTGTAAGAGCTATCGTTGTCTGCTTTTATGCCCCCTTAATTTATCCTATGGTTCTGACTTGGTGTACAGGGAGAATATTGTAAGAACGGCCCATGTTCTGAATTCTGGCGCTGTATATTTCAAAAGTGCTGAACAAATAGTTATATTGACTACGTCCATCCTAGCTCGCTCATTAATGTCTTAATCGACTACGGATTGCCTCTTATCCGCTCGTCATTCCCTTATGCCATAGTTTGTACATCTCAATTGTCTGTAGAAACCACATTTGTTTATGCAAGTCAGCCATATCAGCTATGTTTTTTTTAAATGCAGTAAATGAGGCTGAATTAACTGTTTCGCTGCAAGACAAGGCTCTGCTGATAGCCAGGTGTAGCGGTGGTAAGGATTCACTCCATGGTGATGAAAATGTGTGGGCAGTGTGTGGGCACTGTTTGTCACCGTTATAGAGCAATTCATGTATTGTTTAGTGTTGTGGCTTTGCTGGCATGCATCTAAAAAACATTTTGGGAGTTTGCCCCACCAAGATTTACATGGTAAAATCACCACTGACTCCAATGCTTCCCACAGTTGTGTCAAGTTGGCTGGATGTCCTTTGGGTGGTGGACCATTCTTGATACACACAGGAAACTGTTGGGCGTGAAAAACCCAGCAGAGTTGCAGTTCCTGGCACCTACCAGTGGTGGAAAAAGTACCCAATTGTCATACTTGAGTAAAAGTAAAGATACCTTAATAGAAAATGACTCAAGTGAAAGTGACCCAGTAAAATACTACTTGAGTAAAAGTCTAAAAGCATTTGCTTTTAAATATACGTAAGTATCAAGTAAAGGTATATATACAAGTATTATATTAAGTAAACCAGACAGCCTCCTTCTCTTGTTTCTTTTATTTTTATATATTTATATGCCATTTAGCAGACACTTTTATCCAAAGCGACTTACAGTCATGCGTGCATACATTTTTGTGTATGGGTGGTCCCGGGGATCGAACCCACTACCCTGGCGCTACAAGCGCCGTGCTCTACCAGCTGAGCTACAGAGGACCACTTTTATTTACGGATAGCCAGGGGCACGCCCCAACACTAAAATATCATTTACAAACAAAACATGTTCTTAGTGAGTCCGCCAGATCAGAGGCAGTAGGGATGACCAGAGATGTTCTCTTGAAAAGTGTGTGAATTAGACCATTTTCCTGTCCTGCTAAGCATTGAAAAGTACATTTGGGTGTCAGGGAAAATGTATGGAGTAAAAAGTACATCATTTTCTTTAGGAATGTAGTGAAGTAAAAGTAAAAGTAGTCAAACATATAAATATTAAAGT